CTCGCCGGGGCTCGTAGTCCCTGGTCCCCGGGCCCTGCCTTCGCGCACGGGGAGGTTGCAGGCGAGCGCACTACAAGCCCCAGCGGCCCCTGCGCGCCCTGCTCTGATTGGTGCCCGTGCTTTCACTCTCTATTACAAGCCACGCGGCCATTGGTCTCTTGCGTCCCTCCCTCACCCGTGGTTGGGCTAATCGCAGCCTTGAAAAGAAGCCGCTCGGGCCGGGATGTGCCGCACCGCCTCATTGGTGCGAAGAGGGAACCAGCACCAATAGGGACCGGAAGAAGGCGGAGCCGGAACAAGATCACAGACCATTGGCTGCTTCTAGTGGCCTTCTGCCCAATGGCGATGCAAAGGCTCAAGGGGGCTCTATAAAAGGCGCTGCAGGCGCCAAGGCCCGCTCTTTTAGCACTGAAGGCGCGACGTGAGTGGGTTGTTGGGCACTTCCGCGGGGAGGGGAGCTCAGGGGTCCGGGCACTGGGGCTCCTTTGGAGGCCCGTAGCTTTGGGTCTGGCCCTAGCGCGGCCTACAGGGCTGCACTGCGCATGTGCTAGGCCGGCTGAGCATGGGGGAGGGGGGCAAGCGTGGTCTCTCACCTCGCATGCGTCCTGGGTTGGATGCAAGCCGTTGTCGCTCACGGCGCATGGGCGGGGGGGGGGAGGCAGCCGGCTGCAGGGCGCATGCGCACTGGGGTATAGCGTCTGTCCTTTGCCCTGCACGGCGCATGCGCTCTGGGCCGTGCGAGCACATGGAGGCAGACACGTGGCGGCGCCCCCTGCCCTGCCCGGCCCCCGCACGTGCCCACGGCGGCCCCGAGCCAGTGATGAGCCTAATTGACTTCTGACACCTCGTATGAGCGCCGCTGCTGCGGTCGCTGATTACATCCGTGTGCTGAGGCTCAGGCGCTGCCTTGCAGGGTGGAGGGAGCTGGTGGGGGAGAGGGGTCAGCTCGGCCTTCCTCAGCATCTCTCTCCTCCCTCTCTAGCAGCCTGGGTGCCAGAGCCAGCCCAATACCGGCGAGCGGAGCGGCCCCCGGGCATGCTGGCGGGCATCGGATGCACTGAGATGGCAGCTCGGCTCGGCGTGCGGACCTTAAGGCTCCTGCCTTGGATGTGACATCCTCTGTTCCCCCGTCATCGCACTCGTCTGTTCTCGCGTGGACGTGGCAGAGGGTTAGACATGAAGTGATGGGGTGGGGGGGGGATATTTTTATGTCTTATATGAAATACTATTATATCAGCTCCTGGAATAGGGTGTATGAGCCTGGCTAGATCAGCGGTGGCTGAGCCCAAGGCAGCCTGTGCACGTGGGGGGCAGGGAGCAGAAAGCAGAGCAGCAGTGCTTGGAGGGGGTAGGGCTGATTCTAAGGCATGCTTGCCGCTGCACTACACTGGTGGCTTTCAACCCATGGGTTATAACCCTAAAGTGGGTCACGAATATATGAAAGGGTCATGAACAAATGTTAAAAATGGATTCTCTCTTTTAAAAGAGAAAAAGGTGGGAAGCATTGGCTCTTCCCTTGCAGGCTGGCAGAGCTCCAGCCTGTGCGGGGCTGCTTGGGGTGGGGCTTGCCCCATGTGCCGGGTGTCTGGTTTGGGGGGTGGAGGAGTGAAGGGCACTAAGTCAGGACCCGTCATAGGTGTTTACACGTGGGTCCTGGGGCAACAAAGGGTGAGAACTGCGCTAGATCATAGCATTAAAACTGCAGGGGGAAGAAATAGCCCTTTAGTGGCAGAGAGCCTCCCTGAGCTCGCAGTAAAGCAGTTCAGGGTGCTGTTATGTGACTAAACCCTGTTGTGAGCTGCATAGTCTTGCCCCAGCTTAACACTGAATTGACTTTGCATATCTAAAGTGTGCATCCAGCCATGATGAAATAGGTAGAATCCAGGATTTTCTTTTACCTCTGTATCCTACTGTGCACAGATGTGAATTAAAAGTGAGAATAAACATTGCTGCCTCTATCTTACTCATCAGCTACAGCACAGAACTCAACTTGCTGTTTTTGACTGAAATAGCTTATGAAGTACTGGCAATGACCTCATGTTTAAGTATAATATCCTGGAGTATTAACCCCCCAGGCTCACAAAAATTAGCCAGTATAAAAATTGCTTAAGACTACAGAGGGGAAAATGGTTTGTATGAATAACCTCATATTCACATTGGAATGAGTTGACTGCATTGCATGGTCATACATCCCATTACTTCTAGGGTTTAATAGTATGTTCACTCCACTTAGCAATTGCTTTATGGAGTGCCTCTAAAGGGAGAGCACAGTGGGTTAAGACCCTTTATTTAACTTGCCTTGACATTACATACAGGAATCTCTCATCCAGCACAAAGCTAAATTACTTGCAGCCTAGCCTAAAGCAGCAGACAACTGCAGTGTGCTCTTTACTTGGAACAAGAGTGCAGCCAGGGCTCCAGAACAAACTTAGGAACAGCTGAAAAACACTTAAATATTTCTCCCTACAGCAGCAAGGTGTTAAGTGTTTTTCAGCTGTTCCTAAGCTTGTTCTGGAGCCCTGGCTTCACTCTTCTAAGTAAAGAGTGTGCTGCAGTTCTGCCTCCTGCTTGAAGCTAGGCTGCAAGTAATTTAGCACTTTACAAATATTTCTCCCTACAGCAGCAAGGCATCCTTTGCTCTGTTGTGTAACTATGAGCTCAGATTGCTGAAGAGGCTTCACAGGTAGAAAAGGGTGGGGGAAGAAGCATCCTATGAGATGCGAATGGAGCAGACTGCAGTCACTGGGTTTTACTGTTCAGTCCAGTCTGCTGCTGAGTAGTAAGATGCATTTGGAAGAGCTCTTGTCAAAACCTATGAAGGGACTGAGGGATCTGAAGAGGTCCCTGACAAAAGTAGACAGGGAGCTTTTGCAGACTGTAGTAACTCCAGTTTATCAAGCCATGCTATTGTACTATGGCACCTTCCAGGGATTAATTCTCAAGGTACCAAAGACTTGTAATGGTTGCTAATCCATGACAAAGATGGCAGCCCCTCTTCACCCACCTCGTGGAAGCTCTGCACTGTCTGGTAGCTCTCCTGGTGTTTACACTCCTCAGCCAAATGTGGCAGGTCTCCTGTGTGACTTCCTGCCAGGGTGATAGAAAAACACACCCAGCATCTTTTAAAACAGCAGCTTGAAAAGTTTCTGCAAAAGACACTTGGGTTACTTGGTGGGTTTCAGTTCCCCAACCTCCACTGCTGCATCTTAACCTCCTGGGCCTGACAGCCCATCGCAAGAGTTGCATTGGATCAGTGGTTCTCAACCTTGTATGGGCTTGTACCTTCTGTCTCAATGGTTGTGAATGCAGTAGGGGTACCCAATTCCCAAAACAAGTGCCATATTACAACACTTCCCTCCTTGCCAAGACACTGGGCAGTGGGGAATCGTTCAGGCAGGGCCTGGGATTTATCAGTTTACCTGCTTACCTCTTCCCACCTTGATGCACCTGGGAAAGGATCTGGTGTTAGCCTGGTTGGGAATCACTGCATTAGACCAACCAAGATTTAAGTCATGCTTAATCTAAGGCAGTTTTATCTGTTGTAAGGGACACCTGCATTTAGCATTATGAAACAGTGCTTAGGACCCCCTTCTGCCCCCTCCCATAAACACAGGACTGACTGTTGCATGAAAATCCCTGACCTAAAGGGACAGGATGAATAGCAGCATCCTTCCCTATTCTGCCTGTCGCTATGGGCCAGGTATACGAGCACATTTAATGCTGGCTCTTCAGGCTGCAGCCTGAGTTGCATAGTGGGCTTCAGGCTGGGGTGGAGCAGGACTGTACTCCAGGACTGACCCAGCAACGGGGCGAGTGGGTGTATTTTCCTTTCCGCTGAGGCCGGTGCCCCCTGGATCACAAAGCCAAGACACCAGGAGGATCATTAAAAAATCTTTATTAACAGGAACAACATAAAAGCTGTAAACCAGAGCCAGCAAGGGTCTAGTGCAGGTAACACGGCGCTCTGAGCCTTATTTACGACTGAACGGACTGAACAATTCTCCATCGCTGGGTGGCAGTACAAGCCCATGTAAAAACAAGCTAAGAACTTACATAACCGAGTCCCCGAAGGTGTTGCGTTGAAGGCAAGGTCAGGATTGAGAATCGCGCCAGAAGCCAAGTAGCACACAGAGGGGCTTGAGTCAGAGGCGGGAGAGGTGGCTTGGCCTGGTGTTCAGAATAACCAAGAAAAGGATCCGACACGGGCGCTTGCTACCGACGCTTCATTTCTGCTATGGTACAAAGATCGGTTCACAATGGGGAGCGGGCTGCACCGCCAAACACTTCCTGCACAAGTAGAGCCCCAAATTGACCCGGGAGTGCTGTCCCTGCAGGCATGCCCACGAGGGCAGGAGGCGCGTGGGAACCCCCCAAAGAGCCAGGCCCAAAGGGCTCTGCCCCGCTGCCAGGAGAGCAGCATCAGCCTCAATTTATGTGCTGAGAAAGGGGACGGGTCTGGCACCTGAGGAAAGCACTGATTTCCCTCCAGGCAGAGGTCAGGATTGAACCCCTGAGCAGGCAACAGCAGCTACAGGAGCCCAGCACTACTTGCACCACTGTCTGGGGGCAGACCCGAGACCTAATCCAGCTCCTCTCTGCCCCTTGCTGCTGCGTCTGTGCTTGCCCAAGTGAGGACCAACGCGGATGAGGCCACTGAGGCTTGCCCGATTGTGGACACCCATGGGCACCGCAGGCGAGCCAGGTGTTTCTGTGCAAAGTCGGCATCTCGCAAAGAAACACCTACACGTGCTGTTCGTTCACAAAATGATTGCACTAGGAGACACAGACCTTTGCAAGTACTTCAGCAACGACTGTCCTCTTGCTTCTCCCCTGAGCTAGCAACCTCCGTGATGGACACAGCAGCCAGGACCGGGCAAGCGGGAGAGCTGCCTGAACCCGAAGTGACTCTTGCACTTCTCCGGTCCCTGGTGCAGGGCATGTGCCAGTCTCAGCGAAGCCGCCGGGGCAACAGTGCGCTGAGGCTGTCGAACGGCGAGGAGCTGGCATCCCTGCTTCAGTGTCACGCTACCTGCTGCGGGCGCGGAGCAGGGATGTGCAGCCAGCCTGGGTCGCCATCCGTGCATTTTTTATTAGCCCCCAAACTAGAATTGGCAAGCTGGTCAATTGACAGGTCAAATATTGCCAATTGACCTGTGAACTGACTGCATGTTTTTGGACCAGTCAAAGATTATAGCAATTTTACAAAAAAAAAACAATTTTTTTTTGTCATTTTCGTGACAAATACGATTTTTTAAAATCGTTTTTTGACACATCTTGGTGGAAAACCTAATGCTTTTTCTGTGCATTATTTGGACCATTTGGCTTTTTTTTTTTTTTTTTTTTTTTTTACAATTTTGACCGGTCAATTGACCAAACTTTATAGGACCCCACGCTCTGATTACAAAAGGGTGGTTTTGCTAAAAGTTTGCTGCTTGGGTTCTGCAAAAGGAGATTTTTTTTTCTGCTTTCAGTTTCTCACCCAAAAGCAGAAAACAAAGTCACAGGAAATGAAGGAGAAAAGGTGGTTCTTTTCCTCCCCACCATCCAAAAAATAAAATTTCCAGGGCGTTTTGCCTGGTCCCTGTCACAGCGTTTGTTCCAATGACGCTTCCTCGCTTTCAAGCTGCTACTCTGTGTATCGGGCTCCCTGCGCGGGCCGTCCGTCCTGAATCGCTGCCTCTGTGCTCCCTTTAAAAAAGCAACTCTCCTTTGGGGCCTGGGACCGCTCGCTGCTTCGCTGGCTGAGCCTCGTGGACTCGGCCCCCGTCGGCCTGAATCGAACCTTAATGCAACAAGGGGCGGGTTGGTCTGAGGTGGGTGCTAAGAAACCCCCCCACCTGCTTTTGGCTGGAGGAGCTTTGAGCCTCAGATGGATTGCAAAAGGGAGGTTCGTTGCATCGGGTGCCGGGGGTCAGAGCCACGACCTTTGCAAACCTCTGCTGGGAATCAGCCTCAGCCCAGAGACGCGTTCATTTAGAGGTGCAATAAAAATGAGAAAAAAGCACTGCCAAAGACCTGGGAGAGAGGGGGGATGAAGGAGGATTTCAGCGCACCTGTGCAGCTAATGACGACAGCAAAGCTGCACTGGTCTGCTGAGACCTGTGGTGGTCTCGAGCGGAAAGATCTGCCCCCAGAGAGTGGGAAAGAAACGGAAGTGCGGGTACGGTCTGCGAACGCGAGCACACCTATGTGAAGATACCTAGAAAAAGCGGCAGCACATCGGGGTTTTCCTCAATCAAAATACTAGAAACGGCAAGAAGGGGGAGCCACAGCCTCAATCAAACATAGAAACGGTCACGGCTCCTCTGTACAAGGGGGGCGTTCGCAGAAACGGACATCTAAGCTCTCGTCCCTCGCCGGGGGAAGGAGAAGCCTGCACCGAGGAAGGGACAGTACCGACGGACGGAGCAAGGGGAGCGACTACAAAAATACCAGCCTCGAGGACGGAAAGCTTTCCGGCGTGCGCAGCCGACGGCCACCGTGCCCCAGGCTGGAGAGTTTGGAGAGCAGCGTTTCAGATTGGGATGGGGCAGGGAGAAGACGTCACTGAGCGGGGCTGCCCTTCTGCCTCTGAAACCCAACGAGTTTCCCCTCGGTCACATAAGAATAGCACTTAACACGGCCCTTGACTCCACAGCACCCCCTGAGGGGTAAGTATCACCGCACCCATTTTACAGGTGGGGAAACTGAGGCACGGAGCAGTGCAGCGGCTCGCCTAAGGCCGTGGGGGGAAGGAGACGTCAAGAGCCATCGTGATGACACTGCAGGGTGTGCTCAGACTGCTACCACCTCCCTCTCTGCCTGTGCCGAACCCTCCCCAGAGCCCGCGGCTCGAGACCGAACAGCCCGGCAAAGACCGAAGCGGGAAGGAAAGGTTCGTTTCCCTGGCAGGAGCCCGCCAAGGTTTTACACCCGAGCGAGCGAGCGAGCGCAGGAACGTGGCTGCAGTGGGGTCTCCGGTACGTCGTGGCCGGACCGCGCTGGCCCGGCAAGAGCCTTTCCTGCTGCTCCTCTCGTCCCACGCGTCTCAGCTCCCCTGTGCGCGCATACAGACACAACGGACAGACATGCACAAACTGGCCACGAGGAGGGGGACGGCACACGAACGCGAGTCTCTGTACAAGCGCCCCAGGCGCCGACGCCTGCGCGTTAGGATTTGCAGCAGCCGGTGCCTCTCACTTCCTTCTTCACGTAGTCGTGGAGCTTGAACTTGGGCTCGTTGGGCAGCTTCATGGACCGGTGCTTCAGCTCCCTGTGGGAGATGAGGGCAAGGGGTCGCTCGCTGGGGCCACCGCCACGAGGGAGACCCGCAGCAACCACTGCCCCCTCCCAGACCCCAGGGCACGGCCACGGGATGCCCTGGCAGGCGCTTGCGCTGCAGGACCGCAGCCTGCTTTGTCCCGTGCTGCAGCCCCGCTAGCTCTCTGCATGCCCGTCGGCCACAGCCGCTGAGAACGGGCACTGGGCAGGTTTCGTCCCAGCAGCCGGGCAAAAAGGCAATGAACTTACTTGGCAATGGCCGTGAAGGCCAAGTCGACGTTGAGGCCGCTCTTTGCGCTGGTCTCCATGAAGGGCACTCCGTACTCCTGCAAAACTAGAGCCGGTCAGTGCCGGAGCAGCCCGGCTCTCCCCGGGCCCGGGGGCCGTGCTCCCAGTGCACGGGAGCTCACCCCAGGCAGCCCAGCGGTGCATGCCCAAGGAGGGGTCGGGAGGTGGGCAGACAGAGGAGGACTTGGGGTGTTTAGGGGGCTTTGCTGGAAGGTTGTCCTGCAGGGCACTGCAAGCAGAGCACCCCAGGGAAGTGGGGCTGTGTGCGCACGTGTGGGTTCCTCCCATGAGACTGACCCCCACCCACAGCCGGGAAGGACGGGCATTGCTCCCCAGCCAGGACAGACCGGTCCCCGCGACCCAACTACCTTGGCCAGCTTCTCTCCATCTTCCCTCTTCACCACTCTGTCCTGCGTGGAGTCCGCCTGGCAGCGAGAGAGCGCCGCGTTACGCAGCCCAGCGGCACAGGAGTGGGGTAGCCGTCGATGGCACAACCCCCCTCCCCTACCAGCTCCCGAGTGCCAGCGGCAAATGCAACGTGCCCCAAGGTTGGGCCAGAATATGCAGTCAATGGCTCTGAGCACCGCCAGACTCGGCCCGAACGCCCGCCGGGCTGCTCCTCTGCAGCTGCCCGGGGCCCGTTCCTGCAGGACAGCCGTGCTCCCGGCTCCCGGCGGTGAGGGGAGACCTCCGCGAATGCCCACGGGCCCGACTCACCTTATTCCCCAGCAACATGAGGACGACGTCCTGCTGCGCGTACTCGTGGATCTCCGTCAGCCACGCCTGGGAGGAGACAAGCAGAAAAGACCGGTCTGGGTGCGGGGAGCCTGATGGGTTAGGGGGTCCTTGCCCAGGAACATGCCCAGCGCCGGGCGTCTGTGCAGCCCAGCCCCAGCCTCCTCTCCACAGCCAGCACGGGTGCTATCGGGGTCTTCCTCCCATCACCCCCCGGCACAGGAGGGAGCTGGGGCTGGCCCCTGGACGCAGGCGGTTGCATTCCCGTCCAGGGAACGGTGCATTTCCCGCTGCTGGGGTGTGCCCGCTTCCCAACGCTAGATGGAGGCAAGAACGCTGCTGAGCTCGCTGGAGACAGGTCCGCTTCCCCAGCAAAGCAACGAGCCTTTGCCTGGAAGATCGGTGCTGCTGCGAGCCGCGGCCTCTGCTCTGCATGAGGCGTTGGGGGATGTGGCCCCGTAAACCCCCAAGCCCAAACCGAGCCCGACCCCTGAGCACGCAGGCGGAGGCTGGGATCTTACAGCACTTCCCAAGGAGCGACCCCGGGAAGGACACGGGCCCTTGGCAGGCAGGGGCTGTGCCTGCTCCCCAGCCCAGCAAGAAGCACAGGGGCTTCCCCCCACCGCAGCCGGCTGGCAAACCAGGCCAAGGGCATGTCTCTTCCCGGCTCTGCTGGGAGCCCGCTGGCGTTTGTACCCAGGGCCTGGCCTGGCCCTTCCTCCGGGGCTCGGGCGACGTAGGGGCTTTGCTAAGTGCCTCCAGCAAGCGAGGGTGATCCGAGGGTGGCCCCAGGTCCCTGGCCTGGCTTGGGCGGAGGAGGCAGGTAGGAGGGGAGCGGGGCTCGACCCAGTTGCCACCCAAGGGCGACTTAGGAACGAAGCCCACGCACGGAGAGCGCAGAGGCGGGGAGGTCCCGCGGCAGGAGCGCTGCCTGCCTGGCGCGTGCTCCCCGGCTAACGGCGGCAATTAGAGGATGATTGAGTGCCTGAATCCAATCTGGCCATTGATTTTCCCAGGCGCATTCATCGGGCTGCCAGCAAGCAAGGAAAAGGCAATGAGCAGGGGGCCGGGGAGAGAGAACTGAGCACCGCTCCCACCAGCCACCGCAGCCCAAAACGGGTCCCAGCAGCGCCGGGCTACTGACCCCGGAGCCCAGGAGGGGCAGGGCTAGGATCCTGCCAGGCTGCATGGGCCGTCTCCTGCACCGCCGCAGTTGCAATCCCCATCCCTGGCCCAGCCAGTGCCCAAGAGCAAAACCCAGGGGGATGTGCAAAAACCCTGCCAGCCCCAACACCGAGTTCAGCTGGGACCAGCTCCTGCTCCCATCCCAAGACCGTCACTCGCTGCTCGCTCCAAACCATAGCACCCGCTTGCCCCGAGGCGTAGCGCCGAGGTGGTCCCGCTGACGGGCATTTGATATTGAGGGGCGAGGGACGAGCACATCGCGCTCCTACGACCACCCAAACGGCTCGGATATGGGCAGGCCGACAGTGCTCCCAGGGGCAGGGGTCTCTGCGGTGCCGCTCCAAGCCCTCCCTGCAAACATGATCCCAGGAAGGAAGAAGCCATAGCTAAAGGTCTAGAAAGGGGCTGAGGGTGGAGAGAAGCCCCTGGGTCTATCACAGTCCCAGGACAGCTCTAACTCCAGGACGGCAGAGCTCATCAACACGGCTCAGCCCACCCTGTTCAACTGGGTGCTGATGGGATAAAGTCCCGCTGATGTGCCTTGCTGGGTGGAGGCCTCCGCACATCAACTGCACGTCTGCAATCGTCTTCGCCCCCAGCCGGGGCGCGATCACTGTTCTCAGCTGTTTGAAGGCAGAGGCGGCTGCTCCCCTCGCTGCAGGGGGGCACGGCGATGGGATTGCTGCAAAGCAGGTGCAGAGCGCAGCTCCCGAGAAACATCCGCGCAGAAAGGGTCTTCAGATGGCAGCGAGCCGGCGGCTTGGTAGTTGCTTGCTGAGTTTATGAGGGATGAGCTGTTATCAGGCCTATGGGGTGCTATTTCATCTGCCGGTCATTCAAACACAGCTGCTCCGAGCTGGGCGGCTGCAGCACAGAGCAACGCTGGGGCAGGCACGAGGAGGCACTGGTGCATCTTGGCGAGGGAGTAGGTAGCCGTGGAATCATGGCATTGTAGAAAATTCGGGTTGAAGTGACCTCAGGAGGTCACATCCAGTCCAACCCCCGCCCCCGCTTAGAGCAGGACCAGCCCCAACTGCATCCTCCCAGACGAGGCTTTGTTGAGCTGGGCATTAAACACCTCCAAGGATGGAGACTCCCTCACCGCTCTGGGTAACCTGCTCCAGTGCTTCACCACCCTCCTCGTGAGAAAGTTTCTCCTAATAGCCAACCTCAACTTTCCTTGCTGCAGCTTGAACCCATTGCTCCTTGTCCTGCCATCTGCCCCTGTCCCCAGACGAGAGCTCTGGGGGAGACCGCAGGGCCTGGGACCCGGCCACTGTCGCTTTGCACGGGCTTTGCTGGGGATCGCTGGAGCTCTGGTTCACCGGCTCGCACAAGCCATGCGAGCAGGTTGGCTGGAAAGGAAAATGCCACCCTCCTCCATCCATTAAACCTGCAGCCGGGGCTGGGCGCCGAGGGGGCGGGGAAGCAGCCTTGGAAAATCCGACAGATCATTGTGCTTCATGGGTTTGCTCTGCAAATATCAGCGGCTCCAAGGCCATGTTTGCCCTGAGCAAAGCAAACACCCTGTTGCCATAAACACCTGCATGCAGGGGAGACACTGGCTGCTGCAGGGCTGAGCCCGTCCCTGCCTGTGCGGGCACCACACTGGTGTCCTGGCCTGGGAGAGAGGAAGAGGGGACAAGAAGACCTCCGGGTCAAAGCCCAGGTGCTGTAGTGACCCTGTGAGCAGCGCAGGCTTCCCCAGGGATCCTGGCCTGAGCTTCACGGGGGGAATATAGAGGTTCAATGCCCCCCAAAATGCAAAGCAGAACATGCTCCAAAGGGAGGGGCAGGCCAGGCTGGCACAGCAGCTGCTTTCCCAGGAGAGCTTATCCCTGATCCCTGGCAGAGAGCCCTGTGCCAGCCACCAACCGTGTCCGCTGCAGCTGTGCCGGCACCTCTGCTCCTAACACTGTCGCTCAGGACAGTGACTTTCCCGTGCGTCTAAAACACAGGCAGCTCCACCAGCACAAACCCAGGAGCGTCGCTCAGGCCCGAGTAAAGACTGGTGCAGGCAACCCGGCTGCTCCTGGGCTCCTTCCTTGCCCCAGCCCGTCTGTGTGCGATGCCCTCCAAGGACAGGGCACGGCCGCAGCAAATGCACTGAGGGACCCTGCCCTCTACCAGTGCCCAAGTGCAGCTACGGGGTGCTGCATCAGTGACTCACCCCTGCTCAGGAGGCATGTCCCTGCCTGGCATCACCCACCCTCAGGCCAAATCCTGGGGAGAAAGAGGTCCGTCGTGGCCCTGGAGCAGGTCACCCCGGAGAGAGTGCAGCCCATGTGCTGCAACAGGGCACCTGCGCTGCTATGCTTGTGCGTGGTGCTAAGACTCGGGTGCCCACTCCGTCTTACAGGCACCCACGTGAGCTGGGACCAGCTCTGCAGCCCCTACGCGGCTTCCCCCGGAGCAAAGAACGTGCGAGGAGCTGCAAGCTGCCTCGCCGAGCAAGGCACTCTCCTTGCATTTGCTACCCCGTGGCAAAGCCACGCCGGCATCCCCCTTCTCCTTTGGTCAGTGACTGGCGTCAGCACGCGGCAAAGGCGGTACGTTCCTTCCCGACCCAAACAATGACCAGTTGCCCCCAAAGCATGACAGCTGAGCCAGACGGACGGCAGCAAGCACCCTCCCCAATTCACCCTGCTTCTCCCCCTGCCTCAATTCAGCCTGTCCCTTCTCCAGGCACACACGGGAATCAGTTGGCAGCTGCTGGACCCTTTTGCATCTGAAGGACACCACCGTGGAACAAGACCCTGGGATGCGAGCACGCCTGAGCTCACCCAGACTTTAACCGTATCCCCCCTGCAGCCCAGCTTTGCCACTTCAAAGTCTTGCCGATCCAGAGCGTTTGGGCAGGAAAGGAATGATCTCTGTTTACATCAGGGCTTCGCCTGGCCCGCGTGGACTGGCAGGCTCGGCCAGGGCCAGCGGCACTCCTCCCCTGCCATTATCAGCAATGGGTCTTGCTCTCGCTTCCAGCACGGGGTCAGACCTATACGCGCACGGAACTGCAGACCAGCCCTGAGCAACACTGCAAGTCAGCCAAGTGATGCAGAGGAGCGAAGCTGTGAAGGTGCCAGCATCTCTTCCCCACCCTTCCGGGGCAGGAGCAGCCCCCCTGGGCTGGGTCCCTCCAGCTTGTAACAGCTCCCCTGCAAACCGGAGCGGGCACGGGATGCCGCTGCCACCGCCAGCCTGCCCCGACAAGCCGAGGAGCCCGGGGTACAATGCAGACCGCAGCTGTGGCGGGCCAGTAGGGGGCGCTCCTGCGTTGAGCCGCCCACCTCCCTGCTCCCGACCACCTTCCAGGCTCCGAGT